ATAATTAGACAATATTTTGCTATAGAGTGTGTTATTGTGCTCATATCTTTTTTCTAATTGTGCTGACAGCTGAATCGTGAATTGTTTTTATATTCTTCATATTCTGTGTGGTCAGTTCACAGCTGTAATAGAAATAAAAAATGTCCAACAAGTTTTATGGGCATTTTTACCTTTAAGCCATTTTTTTTTCTAAAAGGGTGCACCACCTTTGGAGTCAAATTCTTGCATTTGGGTTGTTACCAAGCAAATTAAATCAGTATCAACAAAATTGATCTTTGCAATGCAGAGGAAACACAGAAGCTGCATTAGAAGTGGCATTTAGATGCATTTACACAGTTTAATGCAGCTCAGAGGGACATGAATGCATTTAACCTGCAATTACAAATGCATAAATAATGTTTTGATATTTTAAACATAAAACATTGAAAACTGATATTTTAAATTATTTTAAAAATGAAAAGGTACCTTAAATGTGAAATTAAAACTGCCAGTAGGTGGCAGCAAGTCACTGTTAATAAGTGAGTCATTGCGTTCGAACCGAAATATTTAAATGGTTGATTCATTCAGGAACAAAACAGTTTGAAATGATTTTTCTTGGCGAAATAGAGCAAAGACATGAAATATGGTGTCTAAAACATAAGTCTCTTAATATTAACTTCTTGTTTATTGAACTGTTGTAAGAAATCAATATCACATTTGTAATCATGCTGACTTTTGGAGACAAAACGTCACTTTTCGTGTGATATTAACTATATGAAATGATATAAAGATATACATTTTCTGACCCATATCTTAAATTACCGTATTGTTCCGAATATAAGATGATGTTTTTTTCTTGGAAATACATCTGAAAAAACGCGGTCGTCTTATATTCAGGGTCTAGACTTTGACATGTCAATAATACACCCACAACGTTTTATGCCAAATACGCATAAAACGAGTGTGCCTTGAAATACGTAATGTAATCCATGTTGTAAAGATCGCGAGTGAAAACAAAAGAAAAAGAAAACCTTACAGCTGCATGAGTCGTGACTGTCACGTTAGCCTGATGGGACCAAACTCCCTTTGTGATTTTAAAACGTAAGACAGTACCCAGATTTGAAGACTACAGTAAGATTTAACTTCTACTGTTAATAAGATTTTGGTAGGCTACTATTAGATGGATAGCCTAAATGTCCTAATTCAGATGAGCTACCTGTTTTAGTTTTTTTTAATGGTATATCAAAAAGTGTATATTTTTAAAATGTGATTGTTGGTACATTTTACCAGTTTTTACCATACTTTCAAAACAAAAATTAAAATAGGAAAAATATGCAATATGATAATAATAGAAGACAAAATGTGTTTTACTGCAAAAAAAAACAAAAGATTTGGCTAAGTCTCTTAATATTAACTTCTTGTTTATTGAACTGTTGGGGGGTCGTCTTATAATCAGGGTCGTCTTATATTTGGGCCAATACGGTATGTGATAATTCTAAATGCATTTTAATAGACTGATTAATGCAGTGAGAGAACGCACTATAAATGTGCATGTGCACTCACTAGTCTAACCTACTAGACTTCATCACCTAATGTATGCGCGCATTCTGTAGGTGTTTTGTTTGCTTTTCGCGATATTCTTGATAATATCAAATCGCACATCCTTAAAACAACAATTACGATATTATCGCAGACCATACATATCGCACACTCCTATACTGTTTAGATTTTTATAATGCATCATCTTCTTATCGATCCACCAGTTCACATTTAAAGCTCTGCGTGTTTGCAGGGTAAAAACATGGGTCGATTCTCGCACTGGTCTGAACTCTGAACAAAACAACAGTTTTATTGAAAATGCTCATTCATTCTCTGCCAGCAGGTGGAGCATTTGGTAGAAATATAACGGTTTCCCCGATAATGGCAGAACACAAAGCAGCGCAGCACTAGACTTTGAACTTTGCAGCGCTCGTGTTTATTCAATGAAATCATAACGTTAGCCTTTTGAAGTTTAATCGTCACATTCAGCCATATCACAATTCTGGTCTTTCCGTCCCCAAATTTAAGACCTCTTGAAATCATAATTAAGACTTAAGGCCTTAAATTTGATACAACTAAATTTAAGACTTTTTAAGACCCGCGGAAACCCTGTAATCTATAAGCATGTATGCCAATCATTTTTTGACCAGGAATGTAACAAAAATTGTAAAACATGTATAATAATAAAATAAAATAAAATAAAACCCAAAGTACAAAAACGATCATTTTTGTTGTCACACCTTGTGTGAGGTAAATTCAACAAGTTTTAGTCCAATGCGATAACATTAACTAGCAAAATCCTCTCTGGGTCGAAATGACTGGAACATTAAAAGTTTCAATTAAAATGTGAAAGACATAAAACTACAACTAAAGCAAGACTATTTAGAAGATTAACACGGTTTTGTTCTCATTTTATTTGCAGAATATTAAAATGTAACAGGGAAAGCATGGCAGACTAGTACGGTTCAGGCAAATCGGTGTGCAACGGGCTTCTCGATCAGCACTAGTTTAACAACTAACCTCCTCTGCTGGATCTCCTGGTACTCCACACGCTTCTGCAGTCTCCAGGCTTCACGCTCCTCAGAGGTGGATTCACAGATGTAGTAGTGCAGCAGGAAGGGCCACACTTCACCACGGATGGATAGGTCGATGCCCCCGAAGAAGATCGCCTGAGAGAACAAAGACATTGGGTCAGTTGAAACGGCTGTCAGAATAAATCAAATCATACCAAAACCTCTAAACATGACCTTAATGCACACTTCAGACAACATTGCTACAACAAGAGCCATAATGCCATTCAAATATAAAGCACTGAAAAGACCAACTTAGAGAAGTAATGTCTGAGAACAGCTGTCTGTCAGTCTGACCTTCCTGAGCTTGTACTCCTCCACCACCTGTCCGTTGTTGTTGAGATGCCGAAGCCAAGAGCTGACGTCCACCCGCCGATACAGACGCTCCTCTGGGTGCATCTCTGCAGACGGAAACGTGGGTCTACGGATAGAAAACTGCATACATGACTTCTCATCTGACACCTGGAACGGGAAGAGGGTGATACAGGACAGAAAAACACTGCATGAACAATACACTTGGCATGAATAATACAGACATATAAACACATTAAAGACAACAAGAATTCAAAATGGAGCCTATTAACTTTCTGAATCAATATCGCTAGCCTTATTCATGTTATTCTAAAGAGAAAAAAAAGTTTCTATATCAGTGAAAAGATTGTGCTTTTCTGCTCACATAAATAGGGCTGTGCATGCTTAATAATATGGTAATATGTAATATGCCCATATTTCTATTAATAAATATAAATATTATTCATATATTATTATTGAATAAAATTGTGATCCCACTATTTATGATACAACCTGACCTATAAAATCAATTAAAAAAAAATGTTTTTTAATAAAAATTAAATGTGTTGACCATATGTGATTTTTTTATGTTTATTATAAAATTTTTAAGAACTTAATTTAATTTTCCATATTTAACTATTTAATTTAAGGCAAGAAATACTACCGTTCAAATGTTTGATACAAAAAACTATTTCAAATAAATGCTGTTTGAACTTTCTATTCATTAAATGCTGAAAAAAATAATAAATCTCAGTTTCCACAAAAATATATTAAGCAGCACAACCGTTGTCAACACTGATGATAGTAATAAATGTTTCTTGAGCGGCAAATCAGCATATTAGAATGATTTCTGAAGGATCATGTGACACTGAAGACAGGAGTAATGGCTGCTTTCCCATCACAGGAATAAATTACATCTTAAAATACATTCAAATAAAGTTATTTTAAATTGTAATAATATTTCACAATATTACAGTCTGTACTGTATTTTTGATCAAATGATCAAAAACATGAAAAAAATCTTACAGAACGCAAACTTTTGAGCATTAGTGTATATGAGAGTGTGTGCCTTGCATATAAATGTGTCAAACTGATGATATGTTTGTTAAGACTCTCCAGACCTGGTCTTTGAGCTGAGTCTCCCTGCAGCATTTCCACTGCTGAAACACCTCGGCCAGTTTATCCAGCCCTGTGTGGTGGAAGTGAAGGATCTTGTACTGGCTCTCTCTGCTGGCGATGACCAGCTGGCCACAGGTGCAGGCTTCATCGCTGGAACACACACATGAAACACAAACACTTTCACAAGGCTGGTCTGGGGCGCAAGACCACATCCTGGAGATCAAGGGAAAAATGAACAGTTATACGAGTTCACTAAAGGACCAGGATGCCCTTTTCTGTCCCTATGAGTAAGTTATGATGATTTCTCAACTTTTTGTCAGTAATGACATTTGTTATGTTGTATTTCCTCTTCATAAAAGGACTATTAATACAATTTTCCATAAACCACAGAAACATTCGATTTTTATTCACAGCAAAGAAATATTTTAATATCTTGAACAAAAACAGCCTGAGGTTAAGGAATAATGATTTATAACTTGCAGCTATAGCTAAATTCCCTAAAATGAGGAGGTGAATTAAATATATGAGGTGTTTCATAAAACAAAGACTTATGAAAATGATTTAACACAACAGTGTATTTAATTTATTAGGCTATTTAAATAGGGTGATATTAAAAATAATTTAAAATAAATGTATGGATATTAAAATCAATTCTAAACTCTTTTAGGATCTCCTCTGACCTGAAGAAGAGACGCAGTGACCTCATGTGGCCCAGGTCAACTCTGAACACCCCACATAATTGCTCTAATGCCATGACCTTCTGCTGCTCCTCCCACCGAACTCCCTGTGATTGGCTGCTTTCGGAGGGGGCGTGGCTGTCCAGGCTGGAGGCGGAGCTTGCAGAGTGAGCCATGGGTTCATCGCCCTCCCTGGAATTAATGGTATCTCTATTAATACTAATGTAATTAAAAGGAGAAAAGTGATCAAATACTAATTGTGATAGATGAACACTGCTTGAAAGTTGAATTTTCTTTTTTCTTTATTTTTCGGTTTTCTGTAAAGCTGCTATAGAACAATGTGTATTAAATGTTTCTACATTACAGTTAGGCGTGATCTGTTATCAGAGGTGACTGTGTCAAAGTTATGTCCCCATGGCAGAAATGTACAGTTTATAGAAATGTAGGTTATACAAATCATGGAGTTAGTTAATTTAAGCAGAAACAGTGAACATATTAAAGCAATGATTACATTATGTGGCAATGATGATTAGAATCTGTATTGTAAAAAGCGCTATATAAACAAATTGAACTGAAATTAAAGATAGGTGGGAAGCCACAATTATCTAATTACATTAGGTGTCAATAATGCAGAGAAAAAAAATGCCATTTGCAACCCACCTAACTCTTGCAATGCAATGCATTCATGAATAAAACTGGATATTTAATGAAAATGAACTGGGAATTGATTGGACTGTGAAATTACATGCAATAATTGAGAATTTGCTAAAACAAAGGGCTATTGGTTAACATAGATATTAAACTACAACCCAAAGTCGTGCATGTGACGTCAACCAAAAAGTAATTTCAGATGTGAAATCAAAAGATAAACGACAAATGCTTTTTCTTCTGAAATAACACTGCATAATTAGACCAGAAATGTGTATTAAATATAAATTGAATGTTTATTTATCATTTAAAATTGCCTTTAAGAGACTAAAAGTATGGAATTAAAAAAATGAATATTTTCTAAAAAAAAAATAAAGAAATTAATCAAATTCATTTAAAAATACAACTCAATTCTAATTTCATTTGATTAGTCTTTTCTATCAAGTTAATTAACTGTTATCTTTCTGAAGCCCTTTTGATAAGCTCTACATGACATCTTAATTCAGCTGCTCTCTCTACTGTAAACCTGCACATCAATTCATTCATTCTGCCATGTGTTTTAGTGTGAAACTTAGCGACAGCTGGGGGTATGGATACGCGCGTGTGTGTGAGAGAGGACACTGGAAGTGAAGAGGAATGAAAGGAATGTTGAGAGGTTATTGTGCTGGCAGGAGCCGAGCAGAGACACAAATCAAGCAGCCTGGCAGCCAATTTCCCCTGACAGCCCTCCTCTCTCTCTCACTGTGAGCATATCTCCCTGTAACTGTCTCTCGACCTCTCATGTAGCCAGAGCTGTAACCTGAACCGTGGGACCTCTGCTTCTCTCTCACACTCGTCTTTTTCTCGAACAGAGCACGTCTAAGAGGCCAAAAGCACCTCCAGACACGTCCCCTGTCACAGATCCAATGTGGCAGCCAACGGTTTATAGGTCATGTGGTATTTGAGAGTTCTTTCGGAGTCCACACTACAGCAGGATCACACACATGAGGCCATATGGCGGGCTGAGGCCGTGACAGACAGCGCACGGTGCAAAGTTACATCTCATGTTCTTTACAGACCCTTGTTTTCTATTCTGCAAGCCTAACGGTGGCTTTGCCAAACAGGAAAAATAAGGTGACTAAACTGAAATAACCAGCTAGATGGACAGGTAGAAGTTAGTTGGTTCAATGGTTAGATAGATGTTTGTTAGGAACTGAACTAACCAAATAGATGGATAAATTGAGTTGGTTAATTAGTTAGATGGATAGGCACAAAGATGTTAGTTAGGAACAGGATAAACAGGAGAAAGTAAGGTAAATGTAAGGTAAACTAACCAACTAGATGGATAAAGTTGGTTGATTGGTTGGTTAGTTAGGAAGATAGATAAATGTATACCTATATAGATGTTAGTTAAGAACAGGAGAAGATAAGGTAACTAAACTGAACTAACCAAGTTGGACAGATAGAAGTTAGTTAGTTCAATGGTTAGATGGATAGCCACATAGATGTTTGTAAGGAACAGGAAAATGTATGGTAACTGAACTGAACTAACCAACCAGATGGATAAAATTAGTTGGTTGTAAGATGGTTGTAAGTTAGTTAGTAAGATAGATAGGCACAAAGATGTTAGGAACAGGATGAACATAAGAAAATAAGGTACCTAAACTGAACTAACCAACTAGATGGACAGACAGAAGTTATTTGGTTGATTTGTTAGTTCAATAGACAGATAGCCATATAAATGTTAGTTAGGAATAGGAGAAATATGAGGACATTAGGTAACTAAATCAAACCATCCAAATGGATAGATAGAAATTAGTTGGATGATTGGCTAATTAGTTGGGTAGATGGACGAATAGACACATAGATGTTTGCTAGGAACAGGAGAAAAGGGATAAAATAAGGTAACTAAATTGAACAACCAACTAGATGGACAGATAGAAGTTAGTTGGTTCAATGGTTAGATGATTGGATGGATAGCCACATAGATGTTTGTTAGGAACAGGACAAATTATAGTAACTGAACTGAACTAACCAACTAGATGGATAAAGTTAGTTGTTTGATTAGTTAGTTAGATGGATAGGCACAAAGATGTTGGTAAGGAACATGATAAACAGGAGAAAGTATAAGGTAAATGTACTAAACTATCAAACTAGATGGATAAAGTTAGTTAGTTGGTTGATTGGTTAGTTAGTTAGGAAGATAGATAAATATAAACCCCTATTGATGTTAGTTAAGAATATGAGAAAATAAGGTAACTAAACTGAAGTTACCCACTAGATGGACAGAGAGAAATTAGTTGGTTGAATGGTTAGTTCAATAGACGGATAGCCATATAAAATGTAATATAGGAACAAACATGAGGAAATAAGGTAACTAAATTTAACCAACTAAATTGATAGATAGAAATTAGTCAGTTGATTGGTTAATTAGTTGGATAGATGGATGAATAGCCACATGTTTGCTAGGAACAGGAGGAAAAGAATCAAACAAAGTAACTATATTGAACTAACCAACTAGATGGATAAAGTTAATTTGTTGATTAGTTAGTTAGATGGATAGATGGATGAACAGCCACATACAGTATAGTAGATGTTAGTAGATGTAAGGAACAGGAGAAACGGGAGAAAATGAGGAGACTAAACGGAACTAAGTAAATAGATGGACAGATACAAGTTAGCTGGATAGACGGATAGTCACATAAATGTTAGTTAGGAACCTGATAAATATGAGGAAATAAAGTAACTAAATTGAACTAACCAACCAACCAACCAAATGAATAGATAGAAGTTAGTTGGTTTATTGGTTAGTTATTTGGAAAGATAGAAATATAACCACATCAGTGTTAGTTAGGACAGGAGAAATATGAGAAAATAAATGTAAATAAACTGATGGACAGATAAGTTAGTTGGATGAATGGTTAGATAGTTGGGTAGATGGATAGCCAAATAAATGTTAGTTAAGAACATGAGAAAATAAGTTAATGATAGATAGATAGATAGATAGATAGATAGATAGATAGATAGATTTCATTTCTGTGTGGCCGGCCATCCATCCATCTGTGTTATAGGTGGTAACTCTGAGAGTTTGTACTAGTGTGACTTGAGGGAAGTTTTTCCAGGTACTGAACTCCCGTTGGGACAGGCACTACCTCTCAGGGACTGTTTATTACATCACACTGAAACAAATGTCCCAGAGCCAGAGCTGTCAAACACTGTTAACACATTACATCATCCTCAAGCAAAACATGACCACAATGGGACATGATCTACAGTTTTTCCACCTCTGCCATCCACATGGCTTGGTTTCACCTCTAGTTTTGTATTTTTTCTATAAACTCTATTTTCACTATTTACTCTAATGAAATACACAGGCACATTGAAAAATAAGCTAATTTCTCATACTAAGACCCCAGCCAATCATAGAGATCATTTACATATTTTATGTAAAAAAAAATTTTAAGACAGGATGGAAATTATCATTAAAAACACCAAAAATCTACAAAGGTGAAGTATATGGAACAGACACCAAAGATTTAAACCCTACATTGAGCCAAACCACAACCAGGGAGAAGATGAAAAACGACAGAGAAGGAGGGGGAAAAAAATCAACTAGTAGGGAAAAGTGCAAGATTGAGAAAGCAGAGGAAGAAAACTTTACAGGCAGAATAAAAGAGAAGTCAAACATAAACATTGAAGGATTCAAAGAGGAAGTGGAAGCCAGAAAAGAAATGGCAAAAAAAAAAAAACAGGCCAAAGAAAGCGTTCTCCACTCAAAGGAACAGAGAGGAATGAAGCCATTCATCACAAACTCAGTCAAACACAAACCACTGATGTTTATGATCTGATGGGCAGCTCATGTCCAGGCCTCACCCCCGCAGCTCAAGCCAAATAACAAAGGGAGGAAATCATGCTGAAAGAGGGAATGTTAGATGAAGCAGCTGGGGGAAGGAATCTGTATTAGATCACAGACCGACTCTTACTGCCAACCTGCACTTCTCTCGCTCTCCCTCTCAAGCATATCGCCCAGTAATGTCTCTACCTTGTGGCCACAGTGGAGAGTTACAAGTATAACATTCAGAATGACAATTTACAAGTATACTAAATGAAAATATTTTGAAGAATGTTGGTAACCAAACAGTTGCTGGTAGCCACTGACTTTCATAGTATGGAAAGAAAAAATACTATGGAAGTTCAACAGAAGTTCCTGTAAATGACGACAATTTTTGGGTGAACCCTTTATCCCTTTAAGTAAGATTAATAAATGCATGTACAAATATAAATATGTCTGAAAACTATATTATTGTACAATGCATGCCATTTCACATGCTATTATTTTAAAATAGCATGCAGCATACAATACTGTGCAGTATGCAGTAGTCATGCTGGTATTACATTACAAACACTGCTTGTGAAAAACTGTTGTCCACAAAACCGTTATATCATTACATCTGTGCTAACACTTATGGGAGATGGTCTGTGATCACAGGATGCTGTAGTAGAGGTTCAGAATAGGAACACATGATGCTGTGTAATAAGCCATGCTGAGCTGATCTATGAATTATGAATAAGCTCTGAGCAACTCCTCTTGCTACACACAGACCTGCAGCAGTCGCAGCATGTACATGACAGACACATGCTAACATTAACATCCTCTGAAAACACCTGCTGTATGCAGCGCTACATATGCAACTTCAGTTGAAAAGGTTACATGGTCTAGTAAGATGATAAAAATACATTATTATCTGAAATAAATAATACATAAGTTATCAGGTACCATAAATTCACACTGCAAATTCTGCCAAAATGCCATGCTTATAGTTTTACTATTTACAAAATCATAATATAAACTACTGTTCAAACGTTTGGGGTCAGAAATATATATATACAGTATATATTTTTGTAAAACTTTTTTTTTTATTTTATTTTTTTTTAAGAACTACTCTAAACTGGTCAAAAGGGACATTTTTATTTTGTAACTCATAATGTAACAAAAGATTTCTGTTTTAAGTAAATGCTGTTCTTTTGAACTTTCTAATCAAAAAATCCTGATAAAAATAGTAGCATAACTGTTTTCAGCATTGATAATAATAATAAATGTTTCTTGAGCAGCAAATCAGCATATCAGAATGATTTCTGAAGGATCATGTGACACTGAAGACTGGAGTAATGATGCTGAAAATTCAGCTTTGCATCACAGGAATAAATTACATTTTAAAATATAATCCAATAGAAAACAGTTTGATTTAATGGCATAATATTATAGTTTTAATGAATTATTGTTCAATTGAAAGCAGCCTTGGTGAGACTTCTTTCAAAAATATTTTGAAAAATCTTCCTGACTCTAAACTTTTGAATGCTATTATATACATAAACCATTTTAATTCATGTTTTATTTCTGTTCTTTATCAAAAATATTACAAAAAACTAAATATGCATTCTATATATTATTAACTACAATAAAATGTACATCTGCCAATTCAGAAAGAACAGCTATAAAAAGCAGTTATGCAGGGAAAATGTGAAGTTTTATAAATCCATGTCGTCACACCGCATATTTAGCCATTTAATATGAACCAGTGAAGACAAAACGGTGAAAAACTAAATTACCTAAAATACACATTTTAACCTAAAATCTTAAAGGGGACATCAGATGCCCATTTGCCACAAGTTGGTATGATTCCTTAGAGTCTTCCTGAAATGTCTGCAACATACTTTGGTTAAAATTCCTCAATGGTGAAAAAACAACACCCTTTTTAGCTTGTCAAAAACAACTCTGTTCACAGCGACCCATTTCGGTGCATGTCTCTTTAAATTATAATGAGCTACAGCTCACCCCACCCCTCTCTTCCATTTTTTGTGTATTCGGTTTCTTACCATCAAAAACAAAATTAATCCACCGCGTCCTTAGTTGCTCTGATGTCGGGAGAAAACGAAGACTCTTATGTTCACTTTTACATCCAACTACAAAACACCTGCATTGCTTACGAGACATTGTTGTCACTACAGCTGCTCAAACGTGGAGAAAATGGCAGACAGCGTATAACTGGCTGCAGACGGAAATATGCAAATATGGGACAGTCCGTCAGCGGCCGTGGGCGGGACTTGAGCGATATGATGTCAAAAAAATCAAAACGGCTTGATAATCGAGACTGTTTAGGTTTTTTGAAAAAAAAAAAAAAAAAAAGAACAAAAAGAAAAAAATAAGGAGTAAATGGATTTTTATCATTGTAGGGTGGTTGTGTCCAGACACTGCTACGACACATTTATATGCAAACTTCATGTAAAAGTGAATTTTGCATCTGATGTCCCTTTAAAACGAACTGAAAACAAGGACACATGGATACATTCAACTCCCCTCACACATTTCTATCAGGTGTGTGTATTTATCTCACCTGCTCTCATTATCCAGGAAGACAGAGCTGCTGCTCTCGCCCAGAGCCTCGCTGACCGGTGACAGGCAGAAGGGCGAGGAGAAGGTGTCCGAGTCTGAGCCGAGGGTGCTGTCCCGACTCACCTCGTCCGCAGAGAGCTCGCAGGAGCCTTCATCGCCCTCTTCCAAAAGTTGCTGGTTCTGCAGGGCCGGCTCTGGCCCCTCTTCATCCTCCTCTTCCTCGGGGGCGGGCGGCGGGCGAGAGTGGCTCCGGTGGGCTCGGCGACGGGGGTTGCGGCGGACGGGTGAGCTTTCAGGCGTGATGTAACGGAGTGCCTCCTCGTCCTGCCGCTGGATGCGAGAGTTGGGCACCCAGGTGAGGATGAGGGTGGACCCGAGGGTCTCATCTTTCTCCAGGTGCACACAAAGGTATCCTGAATGTAAGTAAATCTTCAAGTAAGAAAAACTCAAAAACCGGCAGACTCCAAGCTGATTGGCTGGCTTCATGCAACTTGCCGGGGTCATGGTGTGTCGGGATTAAAGGCATCAAAATAAAAATAAAAAAAGTTTTATTTGAGGTATGTTGTAGCAAGGTTAGCTGTTAACTAGACATCCACAAGCAGAACTACACCTTATAAGCACTCTGTGACTTTACTGAATTTTTACATTTTTATTTTACAGATTTTTCCAATATTTTTGAAATACACAAAATATTAATAGAATTGAAAAAAAAACACTGTAAATGTACATCAAATATCTAAAGCAACATGAAAAACTGTTTTTCACATTAAAAATACATTTACAAATTTATCATTTCACAAGTATTTATTTTTTTACTTAATATATAAAACTCTAGATTAATACTGTAAATGCATTTTAAAATTAGACATAATTTGTGAAAACTAACAGGAAAAATCTGCATTGGTTCTGCAATTTTAATATAGTAATATATAAAATAATTTTATGTGAAATAATCATATCTTATGACTTTTGGACCAATAGAAATTCTGATCACTTACACTACCGTTCTGGAGTTTATGGTCTGTAAGATTTTTTTTAAATAAAAGCAATTAATACTTTTATTCAACATGGATGCATCAAATTGATCAAAAGTAACAGACAACTAATTTATGATGTTACAAAAGATTTCTACTTCATAAATTCTGCTCTTTCAATCTTTCTACTCATGAAAGAATCCTGAAAAATAAAAAATGTATCAAAGTTTCCACAAAATTATTAAGCAGCACAACTGTTTCTGCTGAAAATTCAGCTTTGTCATCACGGGAATAATTTAGTTTAAAATAAAATTGTAATAAAATAAAACAAAATTAAATTATTTCGTTTTACAATATTACTTTTTTTATCAAATAAATGCAGCTTCTTTCAAAACATAAAAAAAAAACCTTAAAGGGGTCATATGACGCTCCTAAAAAAGAACATTATTTTGTGTATTTGGTGTAATGAAATGTGTTTATGCGGTTTAAGGTAAAAAAAAGAAAACACATTATTTTCCACATACTGTACATTATTGTTTCTCCTCTATGCCCCGCCTTTCTGAAACGCATTGATTTTTACAAACCTCATCGTTCTGAAAAGCGTGGTGTGCTCTGATTGGCCAGCTATCGAGTGCGTTGTGATTGGCCGAATACCTCAAGCGTGTGACGGAAATGTTACGTCCCTTACCATACTGTGATGCAGTCTTTCGATGCGACGAGACAAAACCAATAAAACTCATTACAAACGAAGCATTTATTGCATCCAATGGGGACATAATTACTGATTATAATGACTTTATACTGTCTTTTTACGCGTTGCATTGCATCGTGCCGCGTAAACATAAAACCATGTCTGCATTTGTGATCAGAGAAACGACAAATAACAAGTGCTACTCTACACTGCTCAAAACTCGCATTTGGATCATCAGTGGCAAATTCTTTAAATATGAAAACGTACTTACAGGCTGTGAGTCAGCATTATTTGTCAGAAAACCGGCATTGTTTTCTGCAACACTCCCCCAGGAAACAGTCCTCGTCCTCCATAAAATGCGTTGCGCACACACAAATATATGGGTTAAACTGTTCTGGAACGGTGTTGTAAATACAACTTAACCACTGATTATTAGTCGTGTCCTCATTTGGAAGGCCAAACAAAGTAGTTTTGCTTTCACAACGAAACACACAGCATCTCCATGACATGGCGGTGGCGGCAACAACAATACTACAGCGAGAATCAAAGTTACACCATCTTTCTTTGCATGAACATTTGAGCGGCGCTATGCTCCCTATGCTAAATCTTCCCACATCGTGACGTAGACATGTGGGGGCGTGTTTAAACGAGGCGTTTTAGGAGGGCTCGGACCGGTCTTAACTTTTATAAAGAATATCTCTTTGGGTTTGAGACTTTAGTCTTTGCAACTTTAGGGATCTTATCGCATCATATGACCCCTTTAACAAGTCTTAACTTTTGAAGGGTATTGCATCTAAGCAGGGCTCAACAATATGGACTTTTCTTATTGTAATATATAAAATCAGTAGATTTTCAGTTGCCCTGCCAACATTTTTACTAGTGTGAATAATACATTATTTTTATTTATGTATATAAATGTATATCTATTTTTTTTAAATATTCATATTTTTAAAAAAAATGATTCCAACCATTTTATTAGTTTTATTTAAGATAACAAAAGACAAAGAATATCTGCAACAAACTGGAAGTTTTAAAGCTATAATGTAACTCATCACAAAAAACATTCATAAAGAGACTTTTGCTGTCTCTGAAAGGGTTAGTTCACCCAAAAATGAAAATTAGCCCATAAATTACTCACCCTCAAGTCATCCTAGGTGTATATGACTTTCTTCTTTCAGACAAATCTAGTCGGAGTTATATTAAAAATTGTCTTTGATCTTTCAAGCTGTTTCATAGCACTTGAGCGGGCGTTGCATGCATCAGTCCAAAAGAAGTTAAATAAAAAGCGCCCATCCATAAAAAAAAATGTCTCACATGGCTCCGGGAGTGAACAAAGGCCTTCTGTAGCGAATCGATGCGTTTTGTAAGAAAAATATCCATATTCAAAACGTAATAATCACTTTAATGTAGCTTGCGCTCACTGTTGTAAACAGAAGCAGTTCCGGGCGGATGACGTATGGAGGTCAGCTTTGCGCATGCGCCGCTCAGAAGTGACACACATGGAAGCGAAGGGGAGAGATCGAAACAAAACAACGGTCACTAATTAGAAGTACAAAACGAGGATTTGTAAAAGAAGAATGTCAGAGGATTTCGATATAAGCCAAGAGGAGACTGGTTTTCCTTTGCTAAAGTAAGGAAACTTTGCTTCTTTTGCTCCCGTTAACAAATGTTGATTTTCACGAGACTCACCGGTGCATGCGCAGCTGACCTCATACGCCATGCTCCCGGAACTGCTTCTGTGTACAACTGCTGCCGCAAGCTACATTAAAGTGATTATTATGTTTTGAATATGGATATTTTTCTTACAAAAACACATCGATTCGCTACAGAAGGCCTTAGTTCACCCCCCGGAGCCGTGTGAGACGGGTTTTTTATGGATAGGCGCTTTTTATTTAACTTCTTTTAGACTGATGCATGCAACACCCGCTGAGTGCCATGAAACAGCCTGAAAGATCAAAGACAATTTTTAACATAACTCTGACTGGTTTCGTCTGAAAGAAGAAAGTCATATACACCTAGGATGACTTGAGGGTGAGTAATTTATGGACTCGTTTTCATTTTTGGGTGAACTAACCCTTTAACTTGTGAATAACTTAAGTGTTATAAAAACTTTCAGTTTATGTGTGTGTGGTACCTGGGTGATGTTCAGGCAGTCCGGGCAGGGGCTCGGCCGGGTGAACACACACATTGTTCTTGGAGAAGATGATCTCTCCATCCAGCACGGTCCGTGATCCTCCCGTGCCCAAGTTAAACGTCAAAAGGTCAGAGGCTTTGGAGGATGCACGTCGCAGGAGTCGACCGAATGACATCTCCTCCAGTGACCGCTCACTGCTCCCATCCTCTGAGACAGAAACAACAAGACAACCTCCAATCAGGCGGCTTCTTACTTTTCGAAGCAATCACATTTATAATTCTCACTTGCCAAACATTAAAAATTATACAATGTAAATGATTCAGAATATCATGAGCTGCATCTCATTTCGGAGGCTGCATTTGTCAGCAACATATATCATTGAGGCGGTTTCATTTAAGAAAAGTAACGATGATTAAATTGACCTAACTGATCTAATCATGACAAAATATGAATAATATATGAAAGTCACAGTCAATCCATGTCACCTTCTCGAAACTAACTGCATGGTTATTTGTGACCAAGTCACATATAGACACACCTTAAAACAAACAGACACGCACAAATGTGCCAACTCACTGGAAGAACCCAAAGCTACGGCTGTGTGTGTCATCCGCTCAACAGACGGAAGCTTAAGTGTGCCAAGTGTTGTAAGAAAACACAACATTAACAAAACACTTAACGGTCCTTTTTTTAATAATGTTTAAATGCTAACAAGCCATTCAAGAAACGGGCAACTTCACATGAAATTTCAAGCAGTGAACGCAGCTATCACTACTGCATACTGTAATTATTTTTTAAAAGCCCTAAATCCAAAGTATTCAACTTCAGCGTGTAACTCGTCTTGCTCTGTTTGTGCTACAGTCATGCATGATTCCTCAAATACCTATTAAAAGCTAGAATACACTACAAAATGATCTGAACAGATTTTTAAAACACTAGTAATTATATACTTGTCAACTTTGTAAATATTTACAGAGGAAAAACTGGGCATCATACACTAAATGACTGAGAACATCTTTGATATCTTCTGAATGGACGGAATCAGAGTCTGAAGTCTGTGACCATCATAGACTACGTGATTTTCTATGAAATCTGTCAGCTCAAATCAGCAGACTGGCTTTGACTTTCGGCAACCAGCGTCAACTTCTCCAGACTGTAAATCAGGGCAAGAATTTTAGCAAAAGTCATGTCGTGTATTCCAGCCTTAAGTGAGTTACTTAAAGCGATAGTTCACCCAAAAATTTAAATTCTGTAATTTACTCACCCTCATGTCGTTCTAAACCCGTAAGACCTCCGTTCATCTTCGGAAAACAAAGTAAGATATTTTTTGATGGAATCTGAGAGCTCTCTGACCCTCCCATAGACAGCAAGGGTCCTTACACGATCAAGGTCCAGAAACATAGTAAGGACATCGGTAAAATAATCCATGTGACATCAGGGGTTCAACCGTAATTTTACAAAGCTACGAGAATACTTTTTGAGTGCAAAAGAAAACAAAATAACAACTTTATTCAACAATTCGTCAATTTAATTTCAGTGGATACTCTCCAAAATGGCGCTAGGGTGACGCGGAGGAGACAAACTGTTGAATAAAGTTGTTTTTTCGTCTTTTGCACACAAAGTATTCTCTTAGCTTTGTAAAATGACAGTTGAACCCCTGATGTCACATGGATTATTTTACCGATGTCCTTGCTATGTTTCTGGACCTTGATCGTGTAAGGACCCTTGCTGTCTATGGGAGGGTCAGAGAGCTCTCAGATTCCATCAAAAATATCTTAATTTGTGTTCTGAAGATGAACGGAGGTCTTACGGGTTTGGAACAACATGAGGGTGAGTAATTAATGACAGAATTTTATTTTTTGGGTGAACTATCCTTTAAGCCAGTTGCAACTACCTAGCAACCCTATCAACCAAATGGCAATGTCAATTTTTTTTTTTTAAATGTAAAAATTTTGTCATTCTGCAGGACTGTTCAAGTGCCTTGCAAAAACACTAAAAGGTGTCGTGACAAGAACTTCCTCAGGATGGACGTTTTGCTTCAATCTTCCTCTTCGGTCTTATTATTTCATTTTTTCCTGTCTTAATTAACGGTACCCAACTTCGTTAACCCAAAATGGCGTTGCTCACTTGTTTTGATTAGAGGTCGACTTCCTGTCACAAACCAGAGAAGATGAATAATTGCGAGAAATTTGCCAATTGTTATGAACAATAAAATAGCTTTATGGCAAAAAAAAGACTCTAGTGAAGTAAACAACTAGTGAAAACACAAGTGAGAACTTCCTGAGAGAACCTCAAGCCTTGTAAAAGGCTTAATTAACAAATAAACCCTATACTATCAAATTCGAGAGAGGAACAAGTTTGTCTGGTAAGTCGCCTTAAGACATAGAAGTTCAATTTTCCTTCAGTTTTACAGTGACTGTTCAGGTGGATGCAGGGCCGCATGTATCATATGACTATAATTACAGCGCAAACACGACTCCGGTGAATAAACATGCCACATCATAGCACTGGACTAGCAGACACACAGGCCAAATCAGGAGAAAACGAGTGTGTACTATCAGCAGCAGGGAGTGTACTAAGAAGAGAGTGTCAGTAGTAGAAGCATGTGGTGTTGTTTCTCCTCGCTGCAATCTCTCGCTCTGGCAGACAACAAGCTCCACACAACAGAACAACTACTTCACCAGGAATGCACTTGAAAATCTACACAGACGATAATCTGCAGTTCAATTCTTGCTATTCAATCCAATATTCTTTAAATGCACAATAATATTACTAAAGGAGTCTCAGCTCACCCAAAAATGAACATTTCCTCCAAAGATGAATGACTTTGCTTCTTCTGTGCAACACAAATGGAATTCTGAAGAATGACCAATGTAATGATTTAATTGCACTAGGCGAGATATGACATGACACTTCTCTAATAATAATCAGTTCAGAAATGGCAGAACATTTGGTTGCATTTTATTTTTGTCACTTGCCTGGAACAGACAGCGTGAACCCGTCAGAGGCAAATGTGTGTCACCTCTATCAGGCTCTGTCACGGACTACACATAATGTGTGCAAACTAAATGGAGACGGAATGGATCAAAAAAATAAATAAAAATCTAAACTTTTTTTTCTTAAATTGAATTAAAGGTGCCAGAAGGCTGTTCCAGGTCATTCCAGTATTTGATCACTACATGCCAAGTTTGACTAACATACAAAAGTTCAAATGAAATTTAAGAGCAGCAACAGAGGGCATTATTTTTTTAGCAAAAATAACAACTTAAATTTCGATCTGTTCCTGTTCACAAGACTAATTTTATGGTGTCTTATTGCCCTTTTTGGAACTTGACATCCCCTGAACCCTGTAAAAAAAAAAAATGAGTGTAGGATTTCCTTGAAACAATTTTCAATAGAAACTAGAAAGTGCTAGTAAATTTCGCGAACTATTACAAACTGCAAGTGGCACATTGACTTTAACACGAAATTCTGAAGTAGGAAAAAATGAAAAAGTATTTTTTATAAAAACATACTCCAATCTTTTGATTGATTTACTGTACAATTTCAACACACACGTTCTGTTTCCATGTTTTATGGGGACATTCCATAGGCGTAATGGTTTTTATACTGTACAAACTGTATGTGCTATTGCCCTACACCAAACCTACCCCTAAACCTACCCCTTACAGGAAACTTTGTGCATTTTTACTTTCTCAAAAAAACGAATTCTGTATGATTTATAAGACACCTCAAATGTCCCCACAAGGTCAAAATGTACTAGTGTTACTATCCTTGTGGGGACATTTGGTCCCCATAACGTGATAAATACCAGGCACACACACACACACACACACACACACAGTGGGTATAGAAAAGAATCACCCCATTTAAAATAAATAATCACATTTTGTTGCTTTGCAGCCTGAAATGAAGACGGACACAGTTTTTGTTTCATCCAGTATTTGTATTTGCTCAGTGCAACTTATAACATCCAAGTGAAAGATATAACACCAACATGTCAGAAAAAAAGACTAAAAAAAGACTAGGATCACAGAGTTGAAAAAAGGATCACCCCCTTGTGTCAGTATTGGACATTTGGTCCCCATAACGTGATAAATACCAGGCACACACACACACACACACACACACACAGTGGGTATAGAAAAGAATCACCCCATTTAAAATAAATAATCACATTTTGTTGCTTTGCAGCCTGAAATGAAGACGGACACAGTTTTTGTTTCATCCAGTATTTGTATTTGCTCAGTGCAACTTATAACATCCAAGTGAAAGATATAACACCAACATGTCAGAAAAAAAGACTAAAAAAAAACTAGGATCACAGAGTTGAAAAAAGGATCACCCCCTTGTGTCAGTATTTTGTTGAACCACCGTTTCCTGTAATTACAGTCTTTAGTCTGTTGGGATTTGTCTCTAGTACTAACTTTGCTCATCTAGACTTAAATTCAGTTCAATTTGATGGTGAGTGTTTGTGGACTGCAGCCTTCAAGTCATTCCACAGACTTTCAGTGGGGTTTAAGTTTTACCACTGTGTGCTCAGTTCTGCTGTGTGCTTTGGGTTATTGTCATGTTGGAAGGTAAACCTTCTTGCCATTGACAACTTTCTGGCAGAGAGCAGCAGATTTTCCTCAAAAATTTGACGGTATTTTGCCTCATACATTTTTCCTTCTATCCTGACAAGTGCTCCAGTCCCTGCTGCAGAGAAACACCCCCATCACAGGATATCACCACCTCCATGCTTTACTGGAGGAATGCTGTTATTTGGATGCTGAGCTGCATTGGATTTCTGCCAGACATATTGTTTGGTGTTGAGGCCAAATAATTTAATTTTAGTGTCATCTGCTTCAGAATCTTCCAGGAGTGTTTTGGCAAAGCTCAGTCGTGACTGCATGTGGCCTTTCTCGAGGAGTGGCTTTTTTCTTGCAACCCTCCCATTCAAGCCACATTTGTGGAGAATTTGTGATATTGTCGTCACATGCACACAATGACCACTCTTTGTCATAAATTCCTGCAGCTGCTTCAGAGTTGCTGTAGGTCTCTTGGTCACCTCTCTGACCGGTTTCCTCCTGGCTCTTTCATCAGTTTGGAGAGACGTCCTGATCCAGGAAGGGTCTGTGTTGCACCAAATACCTTCCACTTCTTAATAATAGACTTCACTTCATTTTAGACTTCACTGTGATTCTAGGCATTGATAAAGC